TGACATCTGGAACTCATGAACATAAAGCCCAGGGCTGCCTGTGTCTTCCCAGACCCTTCCAAAGGCTCCTGCTCCCACCCCTCTGACTACAGCCTCCCTTCCCCTGCCTCGGATGGCTCATCTCCCACTTACCCACCTTCCTTGTCTTGGGACTCTTGAGACTCTAAGTAAAAACCGCTTGGACCCCAGGCATCCCCATTCTGCAACAACTTATGTGTCTCCTGGAAAACATAGCCTGCCTTCCCCAACCCCCCACAGCTAGCTTCTTAAAGAACCAGAGAGACATTTGCAGGAGAGGGAATGGGCTGGACAGGCTGAGGGAACATGCTCAGGAGTCCAGGGAGAGGGGCTGAGTGGCCCTGGGCTGGCTCCCTGGAGTAGGCAGAGCCTCCATACCCCAAATCCTTCAGGGCAGTGTGACATGTGCCCCTATATCCTGGTCCAGTTCTGAGAGGGTGCCTTGGGCAAACCACCTTAAGGTCTCCTGGGTCTTGATTTTCTCATTTGTCCAATTGGGCTAATGTGTTCCTTGTTTCATTAAATGATTAAGAGCAAACCACAGAAAGTAGCCTTGATGTGTGGAAGCAGCTTCCTGTCCAGGGAATCTGTATTCTAAGTCCAATCCCATCACTGGCTTGCTGTATGTCCTTAATGGAGTCCCTTACATTCCCTACAAGGTGGCTGCTCCCAGGTTTGGGGCTGGGAATCCAGGAAGATCACTGTCCGACTGTCCTCGTGGGCAGTGACCCACACGGTGGTGCAGGAGAGACAGGGCACCTGGGCCCAGTTGTCTGGGTCAGTCTGCAGCCCCCGGGGGCTCTGAAAAAGCTGTCTGCTCACGTTGGAAGGCCCGCCCAGCATGAGCTACTCTTAAACCCTCCGCCTGGGATGCTGTCAGGGCTCACAGTGGAAACCGCAGTTACACACACATCCTGTTTGCATTTCTCTGGGCATGGTCAATGACTCCCTCGTGGCCCTGCCTGATCCTGGGGTTGTGCAGGAGCTGGGGGGCAGGGAGGAGGGTAGCTCCTCCAGCTGAGCACTTACATCCTGCTTCCAAGTCCTCCCGGAAACGGCCTCAGCGGTCCCGGAGAGAGAAGCAGAGCAGGAGCCCTAAAGCGGATGGTCAATCAGGTCACTTCTGGTCACTGTCCATGGGAGGCGAAGCTATTAATAGGGGCTGCTGGCGGCCACAGAGCCACCAAGAGCTACAGAAAAGTAGTGGAGTTAGGGAAGATAGCTAACCAGCCACATCTTTGGCCTGAGGACGTGGGAAGGATAGGGGTATGGCAGGAGGGGGCATGCTTTGGAATGGGGTACACAGCCAGCCCTCAGTTTTGCCTGCCCAAACAGGCTGGGGGGAAGGGAAGGCTCAGAGTTCAAGACCAGGCATTCTCAACAGAAAGGGGATTGAGGGAGAGCATTTATGCTTTGGGAACCAATTTCCTAGGGGTAAGAGAATTGAAACCAACCCTGTCCTTCTGCACTTAGGGAAATGAAGGTCCAGAGGGGGGAGGGAAGCAGCCCAAGGTCTGGGTCACTTCCATGCGTGATATGCATTTGAAGGTCGCACTTGTACTGGCTGACCCAACATACCCTGCCAGAAATGGCAAAAATTGCTGGCTGTTTTTTCCTGGAGCTTCTTTTCCATGTGGGTGCCAAGGGTGCGGTTTCTCTGGCATTGTTGACCAAGGAGAACCTTAGCTGCCATTGCCACAGCCCACACTTCTTGTCCTTCAAGCAGTGAGCAATGCTGATCCCATTCTGCAAGCTGCTGATGAACAAGGGTCTTGCCCACCGCTAGTAGATGTTGCTCCCCAACCCCTGTCTCCCACAGTCTATGAGTCGCTGGGCTCCTCTGTTCTTAGGTCAGGCTGCTTCTTGCCACCTCTGCCTCTGGAAACAGACACTGAGACTCCAGAGCCTGCACCGGGCAATGGGTGACAGGCCAAGAAAGGGGAGCAGGGGGCCTGGCTCGGCTAGCAGGGGTCAGCTGCTCATTCGGCCTATGCAAGAGCAGCTCCAAGGAGGCCCTTGCCCTCTCCCTCTTTTCTAAGGAGGATTGTGTGCCGGACGGGGAGGGGCTCGGGATATACAGGGCACATGGCACAGGGAGGCAGGCCCCCATGGAAGGAGAAGTTGGGGGTGTCAGGCAGAGGACCCCAGGAGCCCTAGTGATGGAGTCAGGAGAATGGAGGACCAGAGCCAACTCCAGGCAAGCCAGCAGAGAGACACAGCATCTGACACGGAGCTCAGGAGCCTCTGCTCCAGATGGGTATATCCGGGCTCGAGATCCGGGTTCATTTCCAGGCATCTCTGAAGCTGCCTTCTTTGCACCTCACACTGCATCCAATAGATGCCCAGTTCTGACCTCTGCTAAGGGCCTGATGCCACAGGGAGCAGGCTCCCTGGAAGGGGAGCTAGCAGTCCAACTGTCCTCACAAACGAGCATAGCAGGGCAGGAGGGCACAGTGACAGAAGCCCTAATGGGGTGCCCTGGGGGCTGAGATGGAGAGCTAGGGAAAGCCAGCCAGAGCCCCCCCAGATCTCAGCGGGCAGCTCAGGAGACCACAAACAGGACAACTATGTGCTACTACCCAGTTCTGCTAGGTCTTAAAGATGGTGTCTGAGCACACATTAACTCTTCACCGGGCCCGAGAGGATGACGTCCCTAGCATCCCTCGCATGGAAACCCAGGCCTCCAGGGAAGACAGGCCTGGGACACAGCGAGGCAGGCCCCACCCCGACCACATCAGGCATGAAGGCCGCTGCCCACGCTTCCTGGCCTTGCTTGCTCTCCAGCTCACAGGCCAGGACGTGCTTCGGGAAGGTCGTCCATCCGCTGCGTGACCCACACTCCCGGGCCCGCAGCCAGGAGGGGCCGAGGCACCGGCAGCAGCCAAGGCCGGAGAACTCCTCAGGGACCCCAGCCCCGGGCTGCTTGTCCTTCCCCTCCGGTTCACGCTCCCGCTTCCGGAAGGGTCTGGGCCTGGCTTCTCCCAGCCGGCTCGGAGCCAGAGGCCGCCGGGCAGGCAGCCCGCGCGCCGGGAAACTGGCCCCCCACCACCCGCCCGGTTCCTTACTCCCCAATCCCGGAGTACGTCTCTGCGCCAGGGCGTCGCGCCCTCCACCCCAACTTCCCCGGCCGGCCCCTCGGCTGGTTCAGATTTCCCTGGCCGTCGCGGAGCGCCCCCTCCCCTCCAGCTCCAGTTCCAGTCGCTGGGTGCAGACTTGCCTTGCAGGATGGGCTGGCGGGCGGGATGGGCTCCTCCGGGCACCACCCGCACGGCCACGCCGCCCACCCGGGATTTCTCTCAAGCTTCCGTGCAGCGAGCGTGTCGGAAGGCCAAGACCCCGAAATGCAGAGGGGTTGAATGGAAATCAGAGGGAGCGCTGAGCGGTCGGCAAGTTCACCCTGGGTGGCCAGGTTGCTGTGGGATTTCTGCCGCCCTCCTCCACAGTGCGGTCTGGCTGCTTCACGGAAGGCGCGGGGGAGGGGGGAGGCCTTAACCACTTTCGTCTGAGTCCCTCCAGCAGTTGTCCAGGTCAACATAGACCCCGTCTCTTAAAACACAAGTCCCTAGGCTCCAGCAAGGTGCAGGTAGGGCACAGCTTTCTAAAGCACCTGCCTGCGCCCTGGGCTCATGAGCTATGACACCTGCACCGGTGGGGTTCACAGCTCTGGTTGTCTTCACACTACAAAATGCATATTGTCAGCTTGCTGTGCAGGTGAGCGGGTCTCCTGTGTGCCCATGGCTGGCCACTGCCATTGCAGAGGGGGGAGGCACCTCTTACCCATGGCACCTTTCAGCTGCATAGCACTTTCAGATTTCTGAGTCCACCCTGTTTTAGTGTGTGGGTCAGCCTGCCCAGGTTTGATTCCTGCCATTCATGATGAACCAGGGGCAACTCACATAGGGTCTTAGCTTTCCCCTTTCCAAAATAGGAGTAATCCTAGAATCACTGGTTGGGTTATTGTGAGGATTAAGTGGCTAAGGGGTGTGGGCCAGCACTGTGGTACAACCAGTTAAATTTCCTTACGGTATCCCATGAGAGAGAGGGTTGAATTTCCAGCTGCTCTACTTCTATGACCCTGCTAATGTGGCTGGGAAAGCAGCTAAAGATGGCCCAGGTACCTGGGCTCCTGTGCCCACGTGGGAGACCTGGGAAGAAGCTCCTGGCTTCTAAGCCCAGCCCTAGCAGTTGTGACCATTTGAAAAGTGAACCAGTGGGTGGAAGACACCTCTCTCTCTCTCACTTTCCCTCTCTTAATTTTGCCTTTCAAATAAATAAAACACATCTTTAAAAAGAAAAGAAAATGAAAAAGGGGGAGAAAGCAAACCAGGCACAGGTGCGTGCCCCTGGTAGCAGTAATGACTGAGCCCTGCTGTGGCTAATGGAGAGCTTTTTTCTGGGGGTCCACATGGCTTTCTGGATTGGCCTTAGAGCAAATTGGGGCAGGCTCTGAGAGTCTACACGTCTAACCAGTCCCCATGTAATTTGGATGCTGCCAGCAGAAAGTACCCTTTGAGTTACAAGATTACAGAATAGTAGTTTGTAAACTTGAACATGAACTAGAATCATTGCAGGTGTGTGAAAGGATCTGGTTAAAACAGGTTGTTGATCCAGCAGTCTTACCTGACTACATTTCTTGCCTGCCTTTCTTACAAGTTCTCAGGTGAGGCTGCTGCTGCGGGGCTGGGAGCGCCACCTGGAGAGTTTGTCACAGAGATCATTGAAGAGCCAAGAGCTGCTTCCTGGGCCCTGAGAATTAGGAAAAAAAAAAATCAAGAAGGGGGATACCCTGAGGTGGGGACCCCCAAGGGTTCCCCATGGCCACTGGGGGCCAAACACCAAAGGCAGGGAAAAGGATAGAGAGCATCTCCGTCAGCATGCCTTAGAGATGAGACACTGGGAGAGCTGCAGGCTCAGGACAAAGCTTGGGAGACCAGGGCCCTCCAAGGCTCATGTCTTCCTGTTTGGTGTCCTCTCTTCCCCAGACAACCAGGAGAACCGCGGGAAGTCGGATGGCAGCAGCAAGGCTCGCAAGGAGAGGACGGCCTTCACCAAGGAGCAGCTGCGGGAGCTGGAGGCGGAGTTTGCACATCACAACTACCTGACCCGGCTGCGGAGATACGAAATCGCGGTGAACCTGGACCTCTCCGAACGCCAGGTGCAGCCTGCACAGCCCCTCTACTTGTCTCATCCTCTCCACTCCCTCCTCTCCCACCCCCACCATGGACCTTCTCCACTGTCTTCTTCCTCTGCCCAGTCAGCTCTGGCTTTACCTGAGCATCATGTGAAGAGACTTGAATCTTGCTCCTGGCTGGGCTGGGTCCCTGGGCACTGTTTCCAGCAGTCAGGGAGGCAGCCCAGGCATCCTCAGTTGTACATACAGGGGTGAAATCTCAACTCTGGTTATTCCCCCAGATTGGAGCTCAAGTTCAGGAACAGCCAGTCTCATGATCACGATGAATGGGTCTGGGAGTCTGCATTTCGATTACACGTCGTGGGTGATGTAGCTGGTTCCTGGGCATGTGCTGAGAAAAGCTTTTCCTCAGTGCCTCCCACGTCACACACACCCAGGCTCTGATGTGAAGTAATAACAATAATAATGATAATAAACAATAATAGCAGTGTTCATTTGACACAGCACTCTACGAGAGTGCTGGGATTGGGATCAGAAGCTATTGGTTCAAATCTTGCCGCTACCACCTCCAAGCCCTATGACCTCTAGGGCTCCACGTAGATCACGGGATCGTACCATGGCCTACAGGTGACGCTGATGCACAGATGAAAGCACGCTGCCCGAGCTAGCTGAATTGCACAGTTCCCGATACCCGTGTTCTCAGCCTGCGGCTCCCAGACCCTGGGGTGGTGGAGGCTGGAAGTAAGGGGTACCGGGCCAATGCAGAGAGAATTATTATTATTTCTTAAGATTTACTGATTTGAAAAGTTGCGTGACAGAGAGAAAGAGAGCTTTCGTCACTGGTTTATTTCCCAAATGCCCACATAACAACCAGAAGCAGCCTGGAACTCCTTCCTGGTCCCCTGCATGAATGGCCAGGGCCAAACCCCTGGGCAGATAGATGGCTGTGGCCTCCCTTTAAGGCTCAGGTCCTGGGGCGTTTGCGGGAGGTGAGAACAACAACAGGGGTTTCCCACCAGGGTCCCTGGAGCTGTGCCCTGGCTTGCATGGGGAGGCCATACGGGCAGGGTACCTCCAGCCCAGGAGTCACCGGGCACCTTTACTTTCTCCCTCAGGTCAAAGTGTGGTTCCAGAACCGACGGATGAAGTGGAAGCGTGTGAAGGGAGGTCAGCCCATTTCCCCTCATGGGCAGGACCCCGAGGACGGGGACTCCGCAGCCTCTCCAAGTTCAGAGTGAAGCTCTTCTGGGAGAAAAAAGGCTGAGAACTGAGCCCCTGCCCACAAAGCCTCAGTCCAACCCCACCTCCACCTTCTCCCTGTCCCTGCAGGATGGCCAATTGACTCAGATTCAGAGCTGTCTGCATTCTGGAAGCCTGAAGCTTCCCGGAGTGTCCTCCGAGGTGGGGAGGACCCTGCTCTCTGATAGTGGAGCCCTCCCAAGGGCCTGTGCTTCCCAGTGTAGATGGAATCATCTAGAGTCTGCTGGACCAGACATATCTGGAAACAGCTCCAAGGGCGCTGGTTCTCAGGGTCTCCTGATGGCCACCCACATCCCCTCCCGCACCAGCCAGGCCTCCTCCAGGTCTGGATGCCACCCGGCCTGCAGAAAGAGGAATCCCCAAACTAGCTGGCCACTCAGAGACACCAGGGTTCCAGAAAAAAGGAAACGGTGGCAACAAGCACCCTGGCCCAGCTCTCTTCCCCAGGCTTCACAGCTGAGGCTTTGGGGATCCTTAGTTATCCCCAAACTATAAGCAAAATCCATGGAAGGAGGTTAAGGACTGCAGCTCAGCATCTGCCGCCCAGAAATTTGTCCCTGCTCCAGATCCAGTACCTGCGAGTAAGCAAATGTTTGAACATTTGAAAAGACAGAGATATTGCATGCTGACCCCACGCAGGGCCGTCTGAGCTGGCTTCCCCAGGGCCTGAGCCAGGCCACACCCCAGCTTCACCACCAGTAAGGAGACGGAGTAGTAGGCCCTGCAGGTGGGGCAGCAACTTCTTTCTGCACTGAGACGTGCTCACTCGCCTTGTTGAGTTAAGGGCTGCAAGTGGCACTTTTGTCCTAGGGAAGGGGTGGCCAGTTGAGGGCTCAGGGACAGGGAGCCCTGGAATAGAAGGTTTGCAGCCTCGGGGGGCCTGTGCTCTCAAAGAAATTTGATTATAATCAGGGCAGGATCGTATCACACGCCAAATGCAGCCAGCCTCTTCTGTGTGTTCCCCAGAGGCCACTCTGCTGGGAGGTTCTTGTGTAGAAACTGCTCAGGCCCCAACTGGGCTCTCTGGGTGTGCCACTGAAGGTCTAATAGCCCCAGGACTGGTGCCTGCAGCCTTGGAAGGAGATGCCCCTGCCTGCCGTGGTGCTCCTTTGATTTTTTTTTCAGCCGCGGCTGCGGGGAGGAAGGTCACCAAGAGCTGGGATCCCTTGCATGAAGATTTCACCGGCCATGTATAAAAATAACTGCCCCTCCCCACCCTGAGAAGGACAAGAACGATGGAAAATGATCGCCAAACGAGATGGCTGGTTAGAGCGTGTGTGACTTTTTTTCCTAAAGCATACTTCATATATTTTCTTAAGATTACATCAATCTAGCTGTGCAAAAATAATTTGTAAGAAAGTTCTTGGAGAAATAAAATCGATTAAAAAAAATGCCAAGTTCCCAGGCCTTTTTGTTTGCAGAATTAAGAGCCATAGTTCTGTGGATAGTCTTTGGATTTTCATTTGATGTTTTCTGGAGGAAATTAGAATAAAGGACAAATAGCAATAATAATAATAATAAAAAAAAAAAGAAGGACAGGAGGATAAATGTTGCCAGTTCTAAGTCTTTCTTTTCAGTTGAAAGGCAGAGAGAGACAGATAGATGGACAGAAATACCTGTAACCGTCAGGGCTGAGCCAGGAGCCCAGTACTCAGTCGGGGTCTCCTAGGTGGGTGGGAGAGACCCAGTGACTTGAGCCAGTGTCTGCCTTATCCAAGGGCGTGTGTTAGCAAGAATCTGGGTGGAAAGCAGAGCTGAGTGGAACCAAGCTCTCTGAGACGGAAAGTTGACATCCCAAGCAGGGTCTCTCTGCTGCCCCAGAGGCTCACCTCCTCTATGTCTGTTTGATTAAAAGATGATTTGTCTAACCAAAATGTCAACAATGGACAAACTAGGAGTGACTAGGGAGAGGGGACGGGAGAAGCCAACAAAGAAGACATGTCCTTCATTTGGCATGGAGGCCTCCCGGATGAGGTGTGGACAGTGACCGGAAGTGACATCATCAGCACTGGGGGGATTAAACAGACACACCAAAGCAAGGTGCCAGAGAGAAGGGTGCTCAGAGAGCTATAATTTAGGACATACCTTCAGGCACTCCAGTCCTCTCTGCTACTGGACACTCCGGCCCTGTGACTTCCGGTGGACATCACTGGCTTTGACTAGCCTTGTCTGAGTGTCCCTTCTCAGGTTCCCTCCCTCAATACTCTGCCCTCACAGCTGGCGCCCAAGACTTCCCATTACTGATTACCGTCCCTACTCCTCACTCTGCTCCCAGACAATCCCTTCTACCTACTTTGTGGGTTTTTTTTTTTTTTTAAGATTTATTTATTTTTAATGGAAAGGCGGATATGCAGAGAGGAGGAGAGACAAAGAGGAAGATCTTTCTTCCGTTGGTTCACTTCCCAAGCGGCCACAATGGCTGAAGCTGAGCCAATCCAAAGCCAGGAGCCAGGAGCTAGGAGCTGTTCCAGGTCTCCCATGCATGTGCAGGGTCCCAAGGCTTTGGGCCGTCCTCAACTGCTTTCCCAGGCTGCAGGCAGGGAGCTGGATAGGAAGCAGGGCTGCCGGGATTAGAACTGGTGCCCATATGGGATCTCGGCAAGTGCAAGGCGAGTACCTTAACCACTACGCTATCGTGCAGGGCCCACCTTCTATCTACTTCTAAAACCATGACATCTACAGAACCCTGAAGCTACCATTTCAACCATTTTTGTCATTCTGTGGCATGAAGTACACCCACACACTGTCCCCATCAACCATCCCCACTGAAGACATTAACACCCCTTTCCTCCTCCGTCCACCTCCAGAGTTCACTCTGGTTGGTCACTGATCTGTGCGCTTGGTGTGGATCAGCTAGGTGAGTCCTCTTTACAATCCCAGGAGATGCTACCAGTATCCCAGATGAGGTCATCAAGGCTGAGGTTTAACCTTGAGCTGAGAGATGAAGTAGATTGGGCCCAATAGTCCCCTTCCTTCTTTGGGGAAAACAACCTCCTGGACTCTTGCCGTATGATGCACTTGTCAAGGGACATCATGCCACTGACATCAGGCTGTCCGTGTGATCTACGCTGGCCAACACACTGTGGGCAGAGGTAAAGCTGCATGCATTGAGTCATCATACGGTTCTCTCCTTCCTCTGTGTTTCCTGCTCAGGCTGAGACAGGGGTTCCCCTTTTAGCCTGGTTCTATAACAAGAAAGGTGTGGAATGGAGTCACAGTTGGCCCCAGACCCTCTCAATGTAAAGTAAGGGTTCAGAAGGGGGCTGCTGTTCTGCCCCTGGGAGCCAGGTCATTTATCACAGATATACAATCTCAGAAGGCTCCAGCAAGGAGCCAGGCATCCCAGTCTTGGGCCCTCACTTCCTACCCTTTCATCTGCGAGCTGGAGAGCTCACATGCTGTGGCCTCCTGCCCTTGGCAGTTTGGAGACTCCAGACCCCTTAAAGGTAGCCTATTAACAGGGGGCAGCCACATGGCCTCTACTGGGCTACTCCTCTGCTTGTTGGCAACACAATTCACCCATTCACATGTACAGGAAACCTGGAACTAAACTTGTTGCTTTTCAGGGCTAATCAGTTACCTGGTCCTGCTTATTTCACTTCCTGGTGAGATCTTATCCGCCCCCATGTACTTTGTCTTCTCACCACCATCACCATTGACATCATTCACTTCCATTAGGATCTCCAGGAACTCTCTCTGCCAGTCTCAGGCGACTCCTAGTTCATCCCCTAGTTCATCCCAAAGGGGGTCACCAAAAGTATCGATCCTTATCACCCCCAATGTAAAAACTATCTGAGGCAGATGTTTAAGGCAGTGGTTAAGTCTCTGCTTGGGATACCTTGCACTCCATATGAAAGTGCTTAGCTAAGTCCTGGTTCCTCTGTTTCCAATCTAGCTTCCTACCAATGGACACTCTGGGAAGAGCTCAAGTACTTTGTGTCCCATCACCCACTTGAGAAACTCAGATTGGATTCTAGACTCCTGGCTTCAGCGCTGACTGATGCAGGCATTTAGGAAGTGAACCAGCAGATGAGCAATTTTTCTGTGCGTATCTCTCTACCTTTCAAACATGGCCCACTCCTCTTTCCTTCTTTGGTGTTGATGCCTAATTGACCAGCTCTGGGTGCGCAGTAGCTGCGGCCAGCTGCTCTTCAAGCTGGTAAAAAAAAAAAAAAAAAAAAAAAAAAAAAAAACCCTCTGCGTTCTCTCAGTTCTCTCAAGGGCAAAGCTGTGTGGAGAGGCAGGCCACCCACTGGTGACTCCCCAGTGTGAGCCTGTGACTGTGCCCAGAGATGGTGACTTGGTAGGAATCCAAACACCTGAGAATTCCCAGAGAGCAACTTGGGTAATGAGTTTCTTCATCCTTGAGAGAGCATCAAGGACGAGCAGGTGCCTGGCTGCCCTTGCTGGGGAGATGGAGAGGTGAGAAAGAGATGAAATGGACAAAGAATCCATTTCCGAACAAGAGAGCCCAGAGGGGCTCAGAGCTGCAGGAATCTGCCCACCTGCTCAGACCAGCCCCACGTGGACGGATGCATTTCTGACAGCTCCAGGGACACAACTGGGACTCAATGTTTCCTGTCTGGGCTCCCAAGGTGTGGCAATAACTGGGTAAGCTCATTGAAGGTGACTTTTTCCCTGCCAATGAGTGGAAATGCTTTCCATTAACAGCCAAGTATTTTCCAGGCAGATGGAAGAACCATTCATCCCTTCTAATCACCAAAGACGCGTGGCCAGTCGTGGTCCCTTTGCTCACTGGTCACCTTTTCTCAGTTCCAGGTGTTGCAAGTCCTGAATACCTGTTTTTGAAATACTTTGGGAAATTACACCAATCTCTGCCCCCTCCAAGGCTTCCTTCATCTACAGTCACCATTGTCCTTTTCTATCATCCCACCTTGTGTAAATTCCAGAATGTGTAATTCTTCCATTGTTTGCTTCTTTGTTCGTTGGTGGTCTGTTTTTCAGGCTTGGAGGAAGAAGAGGGAGTGTGTGTTAGTTATTTAAAACAGTGTCAGAGTTCTA